TCCCTCATTTGAATGGTATCATATCATTAATACAATTATTGATTCTAATTCTAAACAATGCTTTTGTATATGATAACTTGATCCAATTAATAAAATTCGTACCAAATCCAATCCGTTTAAGTGTTTTCAAGAAGATAATCGTGGTTTATTCTATTGAATGCTTTTTCCTATTCTCATTAAGCAATCCCTATTGGTTCATGAAACCTTGAGTAATAGCCAGTGATAGATCGAATAAGATGCATATTATCATGGATTGTTCGATCAGGTCTTCCGCATGATTGATTGATCCTGATTAATGATCGAGTTCAGTACTATACGCAAACATAAACTCAATACCTTCGATAATACGTTATAGTCAACATTTATCAAAGATAAAAGTCTCAAATTTTTCATTAATCCATTATTATTATTATTAATTATTATCGTTTTTTAAAAATGTAAGTAAAGTATTCAGGAATTCATTGTGAAAATGTTCTTTAAATTATGTCACATTAATCATCCGAACGTAGTCTTCGCTGATTATTGGAAATATCCTTCTCTACATCTCAATTGTAATATCATCGACACTAGGTGATCGACCAATTGATATTGCTTTTAATGTATCATAACATTCCGAATACGTAATATCACTCTCAAGATTATTTTAATCGAGTATGTTTAACGATGGAAGATCTGCAAATAACTTCTCCCAGCAACTTGTATCAACTGATTTAATATCTTATAAATCTTTATAAAAATTGTAGCCGCCTCAATCATTTCTATATTGGATTTGGTTAAGCTTCAAATGCTTCTTATTTATAATCATGAATAACAATCTAAGCTTTTTCACAAAAAGAAAAACAAGACAAACAAGGAAAGATAATAGCAAATAAAAATATAAGAAGGACTAAAAATCATAAATCATTCACATTTGGAAGTAAACATAACAACTATTTATCTGACCACAAGCAATGGAGAGAAAAAAAAAGAAGACGAAGAATGGTCCATCTATATTCTATAAATGGTGATCCTGACAGATTTGACCTGTCCTTTTAATGGATGATCAAGAAAAGTAATTCTAGATTAATTCGACTTGACATGAACAATGCGTGCCTTTGCTAAATTGCTAAGAGACTTCGTATTCTATTCTTGTTGTTCCAGTAAACTGTTAGAAATAGAAACTTTTCTTCTAAAACTTGATAAATATCATTTTATATAATTTCTAATAAAACAAGATTAATCTCTGTTGTGTCAGCTGCATATAACATGTATTCATCTTGCAATTGATATAATTCCTATCTACTTTCAGCATTAAGGTGTTTTCCCCCCTCTTAAAGGAGAAAGATGAGATTTGTTTTAAAATCAAGCCACTAATCTGTTGAATCGAAATCAGCTGATTGACGAAATAGATTCCAAATTGTCTGAAACTTTTCCATAAGTGTATTTCTTATGGACCATCTTTGAATTCCATATTCATCTATCGAGTGCCTTCTGATTTATTGACGGAACTTTTTGACTTTAGTACAACTGAATGATGATCAGATAGGCCTACAAGTGAATAATATATCTGATAGGTGCTTTTCTGTATAATTTTTAAAACTAAAAAAGGTCAATCCGACTGTGCATGTTTCTTGATTGATTATAATATGAATATGTAATTTTGCGAAGGTATTCGGATTGAAAGATTTCAGTAAATAATAATAGGTCGATCATATTCTGTAATAATAATAATAATGGATATGATTGATTATTGGTGTCTATTCCATATTGATTTCGATCCTGATGACTATCCAATGTAAAATTAAAATCCCTTTCAATAAGAATTCATTCAACTAACGGGATGTACAATTGCAAGTCTTTAAAGAAAGAACATCGATCACTATTTTTGAGCAGATGCATATACACTAATAGTAATAATAGAAATATTATTATATAAAATTTTAAGACATGTAATTCGTCCAACTGAATCAGTACTCACATCGATAATTTCATATTTCTTTTTAATCATAACAAGTGTATCATCAGCTACCCAAGTACCTAAACTACATGTAGTATGATATTTTGGAAGGGCATTTCTAAATGTATCAAGATGTTTTGGTTTGATTATATGTCATTCTTGTGATTGTATCACGTCATGTTGTGTTTTATTTAACCATGTTCTTAATAATGAATGTTTACCACTTCATGATATACCTCTAATATTGTATGAAAAAGTTGTTAACATTATAATATATATATATATATATTATGAACTAATTGTTACTTTTAATACTATGTATTTTTTTTAAAGTTTTTATTATTATTACAATTTTTATTTCTTTTTATTAATTTTAAATTTTAGATCTCAGATTTCACCATCCTCTCTCTCTCCTTGTCTATTGTTAACAGAGAGGTCTGAAAATGCCGGTTTTTTTTTCAAATCTTTAACTATTGTATGATGCTCAACGTTCAACAAATGTTTTAAACCGTTATATCCTTCCTTACAAACTCTATATGCTTCTGCATTTAACATGTTAATTCGTCTATGACTACCAAAGGTACATTTTCAGTCAATTTCAACACTAGGATTCATTTCAGTTCATGATTGATCGAAAAGAATCTCCTAAAATTCGACTGACAGCACATTCATATATATTTATCCAGCATAACTCTTCATGTATGGTGAAGCACTATAATATAGGTGCTCATCCTATTTGAAACATTATCATGAAAGTGACATTTCTCCTTTTCTTTGTTTATATTATTTTTATAAAAAATGTTGCTCTGGCAGGCTAGTGTTTCCACCAACCCGCACGATTTCGTCATTGCAACATGTATTTGATCAGAGTTGATCATTTACCTCTTGATAAGTTGTAATAAGCACTTTTTCTTGTGGATGTTCGATGCACGACATCTACTTTGTCTTTACACATACTATATAGGAGAAGGCGGAATGCAAAAATGGAATGTGTAAGAGCAGGAAAAATATCGTGCTTTACATAGTATCAAGAAAAGTTGCTTATTACAACTTACCAAGAGGTAAATGATCAACTCTGATCAAATACATGTTGCGATGACGAAAACATGCGGGTTGGTGGCAACACTAGCCTGCCAGAGCAACATTTTCTAAGAAACTATGCTCGATAAAGAAAAAGTTCTGTGAGTTCTATGTATGACACACTGATATAATGTAACAATGAACATTATTGGAAAATGAGCTTTCTAGTGAACTTGAAAAAATTCGCAACAAGCTACTAGTCGAAGTTAAATGATTCCGTTCGTTCTGAATTATATAATGCTAAATATAAAACATGAATTACATACAGCATCAATCTGCTTCTTACCATTATGGTCAGCTACACTCCTCAATTCAAAGTGCTGTGGATAATGAAAGTAGTGTTTTCGGATATTGATTTCGATAGCATATAAATTGATAGATGTTACATATTGATGTTCTTTATTTTATTTATAATGAAATAATGTTGCTCTGGCAAGCTAGTGTTACCACCAACTCGCATGGTTTCGTCATTGCAACATGTATTTGATCAGAATTGATCATTTACCTCTTGGTAAGTTGTAATAAGCAACTTTTCTCGTTAGTGTGTAAAGCACGACATCTGTCTTGTCTTGACACATTCGAGTTGTCAATATGTATATATATTTGTATGTTATGTGTAAAGACATAAAAGATGTGGTGCTTTATGCACTAACGAGAAAAGTTGCTTATTACAACTTACCAAGAGGTAAATGATCTACTCTGATCAAAATGCATGTTGCAATGACGAAATCGTGCGAGTTGGTGGTAATACACTAGCTTGCCAGAGCAACATTTCTTTTACTGTAAACCAAAAGAAGAATGAAAAATAACGTCTGCGACTTTGCGTATATACTGTTTTGTTGTCATCACAATGTTGTTGTTAGAATGGAAATTGTTATGAATATTACTGTTGTTAGATTGGAGAAGAATCGTATTGCGTTAGAAAAAAGAGACTGGTGGTTAGTGGTGATGAGTGAGATTGAATAAATAGCAAATGTTTGCAATGTTGGTGTATGTTACAACATATATATCATATACTCAACAGTTATATTATAGTACTTTCCAAATGAAGAATTATATTTAAGAAACCTGATTGTTGAAATATTTATTTCAGTTTTGTGTTTTTGATCATTTTTTAATCACATCATTCTATTGTAGAATATCTAGATCTTGAAAACATTGTCATATGGTCAAATTCTATAAGAATTATGTGAATGACTTGATCGAGTATTACTGGAGAAAAGAACATTCGGCATCTAAATGATTTTTATCACTTATCAGCTTTTTAAACTAAGATGAAGTTTTAGTATCTGTTTTGATCGATTTCAGAGCTACCATTTGCTCTCTATGTAGATGAGACTTTTTCTAACGAATTTTTGAATATCACAAGGAACCATTTATGTATACTCCGATCTGTGTGACAAATCATCTCGACAATGTCAAATTGTCGGCATTGGTCGAGTCCTATTTGTTTTTTTTTGTTTTTTGGTAACAGGAATCGATTTATGAGATTAAACTAATATGAAATTTGCTTGATTTAAAATGTCAAGTAAAGTGTGCCTCATACTCAATCAGGGAAGCAGTATTGTATTTGTTGATGGCATACAAATCAAAATTATTAATGTGACAACATTGACAATGACGTCTAGTATTAGCATCGTGACAAGCGCAAGAGAGAGATAGAGAGAGTGAGAAAGAAAGAAGAACGCATATATCAAGTGGACTCTTTCTTTATCTGTGTTGATGATTGAGCCGATTGAGACGAGCGTTTGACGACATCAATTGAACAGATTGTCATGATTTACGCATGTTACCATCGTATAACAGTAAGAAGAAATAAGAAAAAAGATAGAACATCGAAGATGGAAATGTAAACATAGAAGAGACAAGTGCAATTGGCCGTAAATAGTATCGTGTAAGCGAAAGAATATATTTACTTCAACATAAATAAAAAAATTATAGAATTTTCCCTTGTTTTTTATACACACGCATTTTAAGTATAAAAATGGCAAGTTCCAAAAGTAGATCATCTGATGAAAATCAAGAATTGAATTCAATGAGAACATCTACTGCTTCAGCTAGACGATTATCATTTCAAGAAACGGTATGTTAAAGAATAGATCATAACATTTTATTAATGCAAAAAACAAATATTATGAAAATTTTTCTTATGCAAGAAATTAAAATCAAAAAAAAAATAAAAAAACAATTGCGTGTATGACTTTTTTTTTATGCTAGACATATTTAGTCTCATCATATTTATATTCATATTCATTTTATATTGATATTTTCTAATATTTCATTTTAGGTTCGTCGAACACAACGATTGATGCGTGTTCTTAGAACAATGAATACTTTGAATGAACATAGAAGACCCACTTATCTTGGATCTAATATTAATGAAAGTACATCATATCAAAGACGTGGTGCTATGACATTAGAAAAAGTAAATAACATAAAATTTTGTTTTTTTACCTTAATTCTAATTTATACTATATTCGACGACATAGTTTTTTATATAAACTAATCAAAATGATCGAATTGAGTTCATTTTGTTTGCATGCGTTTTATGCAAAGCTGAAATAATAAAATGTGACCTCATTAAAAAAAAAAATATCTTTCTTTATACATGGATCGAAAGAAGAAAATAATGGATTGTATATATTATATAGATCTATAAGTATATTTGTATGTCGATTTCAAATACAAATATGCTTGACAAATGACATGCATATTGAATCATGTAATAAAAATAGTAACAAAGGTGATCAGTATTTTAATGGAGAATTTCTTTTTTTTTCTTCTTCTTCTTCAAATTGTTTTAAAAATATCTGTGAATGGAGTGACATATTGAGAAATAGACAATTTCCGTTTCTATTGAAACTATCAATTTACCTATCGATCACGAAGTAATTTATAGACGCTCTGAGCTGTAAAACACGGTTATAGCCTCTCCGATTTTCTTTTATAAAAAAAAAAAAAAAAAAAAGAAGAAGAAAAAAAATCAGGCGAGAAAAGAATCAGCAAGGGAGAAGAAATTAAGAACCTTTAATAAATAGTGTGTTGAAAAGAAAAGTGTTGTTTATTAAATCTTTGGATATACATAGAAGAAGAAGAAGAAGAAGATAATGACAACGACAACAACAAAGAATAATGAACAAAGGTGTCAATGAGACGATTAACAAGACTTTCTTTATTTCCTTCAGCTGAAACTCGATCACATATACGAACTGATCGAGAAGTTTCTCTTGTAATTTATTATTATTATATATTGATTCTATTTAAAATAAATACATAGATTAATAATTATTCTCTTTTATCTAGACAAAATCATCAGAAAGTAGTGAAACATCTAGTATTACACCTGTATTAGATCAACAAGAAAATACAAATGAAGCAATAGCAAGTTCACGCCGACTTGGTCAACGATTTATTATTCTTCATTATTCACCATTTAAAGCTGTGTATGTTTATATCTATATCTATATATTTATTATTATTATTTGTATATAGATGGGATTGGGTAGTTATTCTACTTGTTTTATATACAGGTATTATAACACCTTATACAATATCATTTTTATCTGATGAAGATCAAAAACGTACAAATTTAAATACACATGCAGCAACACGACAATTTAATCGAGAACGAACAAGTATTCATGTTTTAGTTATTATTGATGTACTCGTTGATTTTATGTTTATATTTGATATATTAATTAGTTTTCGGTAATTTTCTTTTTTTTATTTTTGTTTTAAATAAATATTATTCAATTAACATATAATATGTATTTATTTTAGAACAACATTTGTATTAAAAGAAACAAATGAAGTAATAACAAGTCCTATATTAATTGCTAAACATTTTGTTATTGATTCATGGAGACGTTTTGGAGCTGATATACTTGGTGCATTACCATGGGATATTCTATTTTTTGGTAATGGAAGTCATTCGGTAATTTGATCTTTTCTTTGAAAAGAAAAGAAAAGAAAAGAAAAAAAAAACATAAACTCTAATTCATTATT